TAAATCTCCCACAGGCCAACACTGGAGAGGAGAGGGGAGAGTCTGCAGGGACCCTCTGAGAACAGGGAGGGTCTAGGCGGGTCCCTCTCTCCTGCCCCCTGGAGCCACTGCCTGGTGATGCTGGGGGGCCTTGGAGACCCATGGACATTGGGAAGGCCCGGTGCCGGCTCCCGAGGCTGCAGAGTGAGGCAGGGAGAGCCCTGCTCCTGCATTCCCCTCACTGCCCCCAGAGGAAGTGCTGCACAACACAAACAAGAATCTACAGCCTCCTGCCTTACACCAGTGGCTCTCCACTGCCCTTGGGACAGGCCCAAATCTTCATCCTGAGGATAAACACCGTTGCCCTGGGCCTGGCCCCTGCCCCTCCCCAGCCTCTTCTACACCAGCCACACAGCCTCCTTTCAATCCAATTCACTCCCTCCAGCTGCAGGGCCTTTTCACATGCTGTGTCCTCTGCCCGGAGCACTCTCTTCTCTCTGCTCCCCACCTACCACTCAGTCCTACCACTCACCCCTTGTGCTCAAACATCACTTCCCCTAGGAACCTTCCCTGATCCCAGGAGGAGTCAGATCCCCCCACACAGGTTCACAGAGCACACGGCCTCATTCCTCGGCCACCCGTGTGCCTACCGGGTTCTTCATCTTCCCCACTTGGCTGTAAGCTCCCTGAGGGCAGGGACTGTGCCGGGTTTCACTCAGCATCACACGTTCAGCACCTGTCACAGCCCACGCTCACGCTGGGCAATCAGAAATGACCATCAGGGAGGAAGACACGAAGAAACGTGAGGGAAACCTGGACCCACCACTTCCTGCACGTCTGTCTGTGGGCAAGCGGCCCGACTCCTCTGCCGTAAACGAAGGGGCGGCTGTGGGGATCACAGGCGATAATATCACCAAGTGTCCGCCACAGTGCCTGGCAGGAGGCAAAAGCACAACACAGTGTTTGCAATTAATATAAAGCTATTTGAGTTTTAAAGTTTCTCTGTTAACCAGAACATGAAAGCTTTCAAAGCCCCCTGCCCTGCAGAATCTGGTTACGGAGGCCCCGAGGAAGAGGCCCCTTTCCTGCCACGTTCCTGGGGCCTGCAGAGGTTTTGCTGGAGCCGTTTCCAGGAGGGGGGCTGCCTCCAGCTGCTCCAGGAACCCCTGGCTTCCTGAAGGCCGCCCTGTCCCAGGGTTCCACCCTTTGTGATGCAGGAGGGCAGCGGGGGGTGGCCCCAGGCTCCCTCCATCGTGCCAGCCCAGCAGTAGAAGGCACGCTCACAAAGCTCCCTGAGTGACAACAGACATCAGACCCTCTCCCTAGCCCAGGGAGCCGGGCACGTGGCTTCCATTAGGCCACATCTGGACATGCTCAGAGACAGCCTGGATCCCTGGCACAGCTCTGGCTCAAAGACAGGACCCCCCCACCAGCAGAGCCTGGGGCAATGGCTGGAAACCTTCTCCAGGCCCCAGGGCTGCCATGGCAACATGGCTGGGGGTCATTTCCGCCCCATGGCCTGCCTCTCAGCAGGCCGTAGGGGGGAGCACTGACAAAGCTACCTCCCTAGCTTCTCCCCACCCCCACAAGTGACCCTCCATCACCAAGATCCCCTCAGCCCCCACTCACAATAGCAGCCAGGGGGGCTCTAAGGCCCCCACTTCCCCAAAGCCGCTCAATCAGGCACCTGACCCCCACCTATAAGGCCTCCCACTGCCTACCCTTTCCATGCTGCAGGCACTCAGTTGTGACCATGAATAAATGTGTGTGCTTATCCACTTAACACCCTCCTCCCCCATTGGACCCCACAAAGGGGAGAGGCTTGTGCCTGCCTTTCCACTGGCACAATCCCCAGCACAGAGAGGGGGCTCCATAAATATCTCTTAGTAAGTGGGTGGACTGAAAAACGGATGGTGACTAACAATGGCTAACATTTTTAATTACTCGGCAAGTGCTAAGCTCCATGCCAGCATTGGACATGAATTAACTCATTTAATCCTCAAAAGAGTGCCACAAGGCAGGGACTTCTCTGCCACTTACAGATGGAGAAAATGAGGCACAAGACGGTAAGCCGCTTGCCTAGGTTACACGGGGACTTGAGCCAGAGCACATGAATTGGTGGGTGACGGGCGGACTCGGGGTAAGGAGAGGAGGGAAGACGGATGGGGTGATGGATAGCATGCTGGCCCTCATTTATCTGGCCAGGGCCAAGCTCCTGGGTCCCGTTTAAATCCACCTACCCCAACTCCTATACCTTCCTTTCCCTGCACATGGAAAAACGCAGCCGCCTGTCCGTGCCCCGCTACGGGTTTGCATGTGCTGAGCCCTCCGCCAGGACAGCCCTGAGACGGAATAAGGGGCCCTCAATCAGGGGCCCCTACCCAGGAGCAGCCCTCATCAAAGGCCACACCCCAAATCCATTTGAGAAAACCCAAGGCAGAGAAAAAACATCTAGGGCTCCTGAGAACAAAGCAATTCTCCAAGATTCCACAGGCCCAGAACCACAGAAAGGCCTTGGCAGCCAGAGCCGGGGGTGGGGGACAGGGCTGCGCCTGCTTTGGAAACCCTAGAGGCTGCGGCCCAAACAGTGCATGCACCAGGCTCCAGAGCCAGGCCCGCAAGCCCTCCCCAGGCACACGTGTACTCCATTACAGCCCTGCCCCGCCCCACACATGCTCCCCACCTCCCGCAGGCTCAGGGCTGGGGGGGAGGAGGACCCTGAAGCCCACTGCTCTCATCCCAGCCCACCAACTCCCACTGCGTGACCTGGAGCCACTAGCCACACCTCTCTGACCTTGACCTGCTCAGCTTAAAATGAGATGCAGCCTACCTCCCCAGTTTATGGCGAAGATCATGTCACAGAAATGGGGCGGCACCTCATGCTCCTCGAGGGTGAATCTGTGCCCTGCCCGCCATAAGTGGGCCAGAAGGACAGCCACCTGGGCTGCAGGTCCCACAGGTCAGGAGGAGCCCGGAGTTCCACCCTTCACTGCGTGTACACAGGCTGTGCACACAGTCGACGCCCAGCAAGAGCTACACTTGACAGATAGGAAAATGGGGCCCAGGCCACACACCTGTGGGCAGCAAGGAGGTGGATGGGAAGGCCACAGAAATCCCAAGGCCCCCTCATGCCCCCTCCTCCAGAAAACCTTCCCAGATACCACCCATACATCCCTCCCTCACAGCCCCCGCCTGTGGACCCGGGCCAGATTGGTCCATTCCCGCCTCCGCAGGCCCTGTTCGCACTTGACACTTAATGAAGGTTTATGGAGTGGATGATACAAGATTGAACGAGACAAAGACTCCCAGCTGTGGGGAGAGATCTCTGACAACTAGACAACGCCCTAGGGCAGGGGGTGGGGGTCAGACAAGACACAAAGATTCAAGGAAGGCTTCCTGGAGGAGGTGCTGCCTGAGGTGCCCGGGATCAGTGTGAGGAAGAAAGGAACAGAGGGGAGAGGACAGCGTAGGGTACTCATGGGATGGCAGGGGAACTAGGGTGAGGTGGTATAGGATAGAGGGGGTGGCCAGAGAGCCCCCACTGATTCACTCATTCATTCACCCAATGTTTATAGAGCAGCAGCTGTATGCCAGGCCCTGCTGGAGGCCTTGGGCATAGCAGAGAAGATGACCGATGTGGTCCCTCTGCTCATGGCACTAACATTCTACTAGAGAACACAAGGCTCAATAAGTAACTATGTACTATAATGCCAGGCACCCCTAGGGAAATTAAAGCAGGCTAAGAGGAAGGTGGGCTGCTCTTTCAACTAGGCGGTCAGGGAAGGCCTCTCTGAGGAGGAGACCTTGAACAGAGAGCTAAATGGAGGGAAGGAAGGAGCCACTTGGAAGAGTATTTCAGGAAGAGGGAGTGGCAAGTGCAAAGGCCCTGGGCTGGAAGGTGCCTGGGGATGGGGAGGGTTGCTATGGACTGAGTGTCCATGCCCCCCTCCCAAATTCATGTTAAAACCCTAATCCCCAACGGGCTGGTTTCTGGAGATGGAGCTTTGGGGAGATAATTAAGTCATGAGAGTGGAGCCCTCCTGATGGGATCAATGCTCGTTTAAGAAGAGATGCAAGAGAGCCTGCTCCTCCTCTGCTGCATCTCAGCTGCCATGCATTCTCATCTGCTCATCGTGACCTCACATGGACGTTGTGAGGACACAGAGCAGACCGCCGTCTGCACACCAGGAAGCAGGCTCTCACCAGACACTGGATCTGCCGGCACCTTGATCTTGAACCTCCAGCCTCCAGAACTGTGAGAAATAAATGTCTGTTGTTCAAGCCACCCAGTCCATGGTATTTCTGTTCTAGCAGCTGGAATGGACCAAGACAAGGGTGATGAAAAGGAGGTTCAGGAGGTCACAGGGGCAGGCTGTGCAGGGCATGTGGCCCCTGAGAGGACTTTGGCTTCTCCTCTGAGTAGGTGGGAGCCACAGCACAGTGCTGAGCAGAGGAGGGATGAGAACGACTTGTCTGTTAACAGGACCCCTAGCTGGAGGGGTGGCAGACCCGGTGCTGGGTTCTCACAAGGAGCCCCCACAAGAGACAGTGGCCCTTCTACTGCCACCTCAGAGACCAGGAACACAGCCGTGCCCAGGGGCTACTATCAGGGAGGATGTGAGCAGGCAGCTGCACCAGATCTGTGAAGCTCCCCTCTTCCTGCCAGGGCACCCATGGACCCCAGTGGCCCAGCATGCACCTGAGCTGGAACCCTCCTCTTTGGGGATCCCCCAGCCCTGAAGAGGTATGCCTAAGAGGCCCTCAACCACAGCCCAACCAGGTAGCCCAGCACCCACCTTGACAGGGACCTCACCCCATCACCCACTCTATCCCCAGGAACAGGACCAGGGAGAAAGCTCCATCTCAGAGCCTCCTGCCCCACAGTGTAGTTCCAGCCTGGCCCCACAGACCCAGGCCTGCCCTACCCCAGGCAGCTGTGCAGAGACCCGGGGCAGGGACAGGCCCCAAGGCTGTCTTTCCCTGGGCTGGGTGCCCCTGGAGGAACTAGGAAAGGGGCTTACCTTCAGAGTCACCTCTGGGGACAGAATGGACAGAGTTGGGGTCTGTGTCCTCGTCTGGCCGAGGACGGGGTAGAACCAGCGACTGCTTGGGCCCTTCCTTGGTGGGTGGAAGCAGAGCTGCCTTGTGCGGAGATGCAGTCAGGATGGTATGGGTGCTGGGCTCCACTGGGCCCCCAGGAGAGCTCAGTGTGGCCTGCAACGGGAGGACACTGGCCGTGCTTGATTGTAGAATGGGCCCAGCTCCCTCCTGCCCAGTGCTGCGGGGAGTGGCCTGGGCGTCCGGGATGAGATTCTCTTCGGGTCCTGCCCTGGCCTCTGCCACCTCCTCTTGGACAGGGAGACCAGGCCCAGGTGGGCGTGTGGTGGGTGGCCCATCCAGCCCCTTGGGGCCACCTGCTGCCGGCCGCTCCCTGACCGTCAACTCCTCCCTCTCCTCCTCTCCTTCCTCCTGGCTGTCCTCCATCACTCTCGTGGCTTTGGCCTGCATGGGGGCCGGGGGACCCAAGGCAGTAGCCACTGTGGGCCTGGGGAGGGAAGCCGGCCAAGGGGTGGCCTGGATGGCTGATGGTGGCCGAATCCCGCCTCCCAGAGCAGCTGGGCCCCCTGCGCCAGCCTGGAGCTCGCCCGCCAGGGCCGCCGCAGCTTCCACCTCAGCCACCTCCTGGTCGTAGCTGTAGGGGTCTTCATAGTGTCGCTCAGGGTCACCCTCCTCGGCATCTGAGAAGTTCCCGGTGGAGGCAGCTGGCATGGCCTCAGTGTCTCCATGGCAACCGGGGAGCTGGTAGCAGATGAGCTCGCCCCCGGTGTCAGGACAGTGGCAAGCCCGGCAGGGCGGCAGGTGGATGGTGTGGCCGGCAGCGTACTTGCGGCCAGTGTGGACACAGCCCACCTGGCCACACTGCGGGCAGCTGTCGGCTGCCACCACGGCCTCGATGCAGTTGGGCGGCAGCTCTGGGCACAGCATGAACTGGCAGCTGATCTTGCCGCCACCCGGTGGGCAGGAGCACTCAGTGCTGCCGAAGTCCACAAAGTAGGACTGGCCGGCGGGCACGCGGCCTCGCACAAAGCCGCCCTGCAAGCAGTCGTAGTACTGGTAGCCCTCACAGGCGCAGCCCTGCTGCACGCACGTGGCGCAGCAGGCACCTGGCTCCAGCGCCTCCTCGATGCAGTTCTCCAGCGGCGGGCACTCGACGCCCGTGCAATCCTGCCTCGGAGCGGCCGCACCCATGCTCAGGCCCAAGGCCAGGGCCAGGGCCAGGGCCAGGGCCAGCCAGGCTCCCACAGGTTCCCGGAGCAGCGCCATGGTCCCACAGCCAGCCCAGGTGCCACCTCGAGATGAACAGTCCCCTCTCCTGGGAGGCCCTGGGGGAATCAGAAAGGACACCTGTCAGCACCACACGGGCCAGCACACGTGGACACATGCATCCCCCAGGCACATACACCAGCACACGCACAGGGACACAGCCTCAGCCACCTCCACTCACACGTGTGCACCCCTGTAACACAGCCCACGCGTGCACTCATTCCCACGTCCCCATGCACACGCTCCCAGTCATGTCTACTCGGATGCACAGATGGGGCATCCACTGTCGCTCAGGTGCCACAGGTATTGACAGAGTCGCCAACATGGTCCCACTCAGGGCCGCTGACCCCCACCCTCGTCTGCCTTCTGACACCTACCCTCTGGGTGGGACCCTCCTGCCCACAGTCCCAAACACACACACACACACACTCTCACACCCACACACTCATGCCTGCACTCTCACTCAGTCACACTCACTCACCAAGGCACATGTCCAGCATGCCTGGGGCACTCTGGGTCTCTCCAGCCCTCAGTGACAAGCACCGCAGTCATTCACACACCCCGCACAGTCCTCCACAGTTACATATACTGTCTCACCCACATGCCAGGACACCACGGGCAGTCTTGCACACGCAGTCCCATCGCGTGCACACACACACACGACCACCCAAACAATTTCTCTTCCCCAAAAACCCAGCTCGACCCCCAGCCAGAGGCCTGTGGCTGCCAGCCAGAGGACGTGGTCAGGTGGATGCTGGGCAGGAACAAGCCGCCTCCAGGCCTTGGCATGGCCAGCCAAGTCCCCCACCTGGCCCTCAGACCCCAGGGCTCAGGATCCCCCAACAGAGCCCCTGGACTGCAAGCTTAGCCCAAGGGGAGGCTCCTGACAACCTCCTCAGCTGCCTCAGCAAATGTGACCACCATTTCCAGAACTGTGCTGGACACCCACTGTCCCCAACACCCCCCCACACCCCAAGTCCTGTCTGCTCTCCCCTGTGAACAGCTCTCCACTCTCTCTGCCCCCAGCTTCAGGCTCCCCTCCCACCCACTCTGCCCTCCCCAACTCCACTCCTGCCCTTTCTCTGCAGGCCAGTCTGATCTGAGAGCAGCGGACCCCCACACACCCCACCCGCAGCACCCTGCTGCCAGCCCTGGGCGGAGCCCCCATGCCGGGCTATTGTTTGCACGCACTTTGCTAAAACTGTCTGCTTTTTTTAAAAAGGAGAAAAAAAAGAGGCCAGCCTGGAGGCCAGCGTAGTGGTTAAGTTCCTGCGCTCCACTTTGGCAGCCTGGAGTTCGCAGGTCCAGATCCTGGGCGTGGACCCCCACACTGCTTACAAGTCATGCTGTGGTGGCGTCCCACATAAGGTAGAAGAAGACTGGCAACAAGTGTTAGCTCAGGACTAATCACCTCACCAAAAAAAAAAAAGGGGGAAAAATGACAATGAAGCGACATCTCTAGTGTTTTAAGTGTTTGTCATTTCAAACCTAAAAAATATAATCACTCTTAAAAGTTTCTGATGAAAAAGAGGAAAAGGGAAGCAGAGCAGAGCCCCTGCTGTTTCTAGAGGAAGCAGCCTGGGCTGCTGCCTCCCGGCTGAGCCCAGGGCAAGAGCAGGACAGCACAGCTGGAGCGCAAGGCCCCGTGGCCCCGTGGCCCCGTGTCCGGGGCAGTGACAGAGTGACCAGCGTCCCGCAGAACAGGAAACCTTCTGCCTCTACTGGCCGGTCAACCAGAACTACGTGAACAGGCCTGTGGGCCGGGCACCCTAGAACGGGGGTTTATCAGCAGGTAAAACAAGCCTTCTGGCCATCCTGGCAGCGCCCGACTCACTAGTGGGGGGAGGCCAGTATAAACCCACGGCCATTCAGCAGATTACCGTATGCCAGGCAGCAATAAGAACAATGAAGAAATAAATGAATGAAAGCACGGAAATGGAACAGGAAGTGACTAGGGATGTGGGAGAGCCTATTTTACAAGGGTGGTCAAGCAAGGCCTCTAAAAAAGTGGCATTTGAGCTCAGACCTGAGTGAAGCAATGGAGACAGCCATCTGAATATCTGGAGGCAAAGTATGTCAGGGGCAGGAACAGCACATGCAAAGGGCCTGAGGCATGATCAGTAGGAGGGGGGTGAGGAACAGCAGAGGGCCACCATAACTGAGCCTGTGAGCAAGGGTGAGTATGAAAACAGCCAGATCAAGCAGGGCTTCTGGCTGTCGTGAGGGCCGCTGGAAGCCCTGGCGCCCGGAATGACCTAACAGGACTCTAGACTTAAAGGAATTTGTCTGGCTGCTGTGTTGAGAACAAGGGAGCTAGGCTGGAGGAGGGAGACCAGGGAGTGGAGCAAGAGACGGCTAGGGCAGTAAGTGTCAGAAGGCAGGAGAGGACGGCAGAAGGGGAGTTATTTTGCAGGTAGAATGGACAGGATTTGCTGATGGACTGGATGGAGTGTGACAGGAGAAGAGTCTGGGACGAGCCAAGGTTTTGGCCCAAGCACCTGGAAGGACAGAGCTGTGGCTTCCAGAGGCAGGGAAGGCTGTGGAAGGAGGGCCAGGGGCCTGCGGGCAGACACGCAGCCCCGGCTGGGCCATGCCGAGTCTGAGAAGCCCAGGGATCACCCAAGTGAAGATGGTAAGGACGCCACCAGGAACAGGTGCCTGCGCCAGGCTCAGAGGCTGCGGTTGTCCCTGGACTCCAACCGACTGGACCCACACATTCCCCCAAGCTGAGAAGCCACCTCAGCAGGGCAGAGGGCTCCATAAAGTGACCGCAATTAGGAATCAGCCGCTGAGAGAACCGGGCCTGTGATCCCAGTGACAATGTCAGTGACCCTCTGCTTGGAGGTGGGGCGGGGGGTACCAAGGCCCTCAATCCACTCTCAACAGTGTCATTTAAGAAAGGAAACCTTTGCAGACCGAGACCTAAACCTTCCTCCCACCTTCCATCTGCCTTTCCGCCCATCCCACACTCACAGGAATAATGCACTCCGAGAGGCAAATATTCCTGCCACAGGCTGGCAGGCTTCTACCAGAGGGACTCTGTCCCCATCCAGCCCTGCCACACCCACCTGGCATTCTCCAAAAGTTGGCCCCTAGTTCTGCTCACCCCCACCGCCCCCAGGGTGGCCCGGCCCTTAGAGCTCCCAGAGTCACGTGTTGCCCACACTCAGGTGATTCTGGATCTCAGGTTCGCCCATCACCCCCATCCCAGGCCCAGAGGGATGACAGCAAACATCAGACCCTGACTTTGTGTGCTCCTCATTTGCTGTGCAACCCTGAGCAAGGCCCTGCCCTCTGTGAGCCTCGGCTGTGCATCTGTATACATTGGAGGGGCTCTACCACACCTTAAGTCATGGCTGCGAGCCCACAGGTGCTATCCAGCCCACGAGTGTGTTTTGTTTGTTGCGCACAGTGGGTTTTTAGTTTTAAATTAATTACTAGCATTTACAAATTGGAAACGTTCACATGAAAATTCAGGTTTCTGACTCCTCTTGAAAACCACTGTGCCCTGGCCACTCTGAGATGTCACACGGCGTATGGGCTCCTGCTCCCACAAGGCCTATGTGGCCTCTCTGCTCACTCACACATGGCTGGGTGTGCCTGAACTCAGGGTCCCCCGGCTCACTTCGGAACTGGGAACCCCACGGGCATTCCCACTCTGGTCTCCAGCTGGGAGAACGGAAGTCTGGGGCCCCCTGCGTGCTGCTCAGAGCACGGTGCTGTCTAGAGGGTGTGTGCCCACCCGTGAGGGGGATGGGACCGGCTGGGATGTGTCCAGAGGAGGTGGCCCAGTGGGGAGGAGGCTCACCTGGAAAGGAGCAGCCTCGGGGGACCCTGGCACACCTCCACAGCTGCTCTGATGGGTCCTGGGCCCACGGCGTGCATGTGGGGTTCAGGGCATAGATCTCAGCTCCACGTGGGGAAAGCTCTCTCAGGGTCAGGGACAACCAGGCTGCCGGGGGAGGGCGTGAGCTCCCTGTCCCTGGAGACAAGCAAGCAGGGCTGGAAACACAGAAGTGAGAAGCAGGAGGGCACCATCTCTATATCGCTGCTTCTCAGATTCCAACACGCCCCTCCGGGGGCTCCAACTGCTATTTTCCCACAGCCTCCACAGCAAGCAGCCCCCAAAGGTCCGGCTTCTGCAGAAGGGGACCCCACCCGCAAGCTGAAAAGAGGAGCCGTGAGGGGAGGGGCTAAGGAAGGGCGCCTGACCTCCCCGCAGGGGAGCCCCAGAGCCAGACTGCGGTCAGCCGACAACGACCCTGCAGCCAGGCTGCCCAGTGCCCGCGGGCAGGGTCACAGGGGTGCACACTCCCAAAGCAGGAGCTCACCAGAGACCAGAGAGACGCAAAACAAAACCCCCGTGGCTCTGCCCCACACCCGTCGGACTGGCTGAGCTGGATTATCACTGTTATAGTGCCCGCTGGCCTGAGTGACCACCAGAGCGGGCGCTGTGCAGAGTGGCCCACACGCGTGGCAGATGAGCGCCGAGCTCTCGTGCCCGGGAGCTATCCAGAGACACCCAGGTCACACAGCCACGGGGCCAACGGGGAATTCGTCTGCTGGTAGGAGGGGACGGCAGGTGCAGGCCAGTATGCCAGTTACCTGTCCCACGTCTGCTCTCCGCCCATCTCCACCCTGCTCTGCACCCAACAGGCTGACCTCCTCAAACTGCAGCCCCTGGGCTCCTGCATCCTCTAATGGCAGCCACTGGCAGGAGATGAGAGGATGGGAGAGAGAGATTGGGGTGTTTATTCCCCCCGCTCCCTCCCTCCTTCCTTCGAGGCAGGGTTTGGTGGTGACTGTCCCCCCACCCCCACCAAGGCAACAGCCCGTGAGTGACCCTGCTGGGTTCTGAGAGCTGCCCCTCCCCCACCCCTCCAGGCCCAGGGCCCTAAGGGCTCCCTACCCACCCACCCTCTGAGAGTTGCCCCACGCCCTGTACCCCTGTACGGTCAGCTAACCCTGCCCACACCTCTCTTCCAGGTCTCTCACTAACCACTCCTCCAGTAAACCCTGGGAGGGGTCCCCTGTTTCCTGCCGGGGCTTGACAGACACACCCCCAT